GGGAATTTACCTCCACAGTTACGACAGGTTTGGGACTTTCGACCGCTATCTGGAGCTTCTTTCTGGTATTTATTTCCTTGAAAACGCGAATCAGGCTTCTTGGGCGTCTGTATCTGGAATTTGATCCACCGGAAGTTGGAAATTTTCGATGTTGTTTTGAATTCTTTTCGTTGTAATTATAATTTACTGTTTCGTTACTTTCGCTTTGGAATTTGCTGGCGTTATCGAGGCGTTTAGACTGTTCATCTGTACGTTCTAAGGTATTCCCGTAGTCGAGAATTTGTTTGAGAGTCATCGTCTCACGAAGCGCTTTCTTTCTTAACCGGGAATCGCGGGTTTTGTGAATAATTTGGGTTTTAATCTCGGCTTCCTCGCTGTGAAAATTACAGTGTACTGCTTTTGTCTTCAGTCGACGGTAGTATTCGTTGAGCGTTTCGTTGGATCCTTGCTTTAGCTCTCGAAAATCGAATATAGCCATGTCTGTATTTCCTTGTGGCACGAAGTGTTGGGTGAAACAATCGATCGCTTCTTGATAAGTTGTGCCAGTGTCGGGAAGAATATCGAAAATGTCGTTGGCTGACTCGCCTACATAGGTTAACAATAAACCTCTCCTAACGGTTGAATCAAACTCACGAAGACTTATAAGCAAGTTTTCGAAACGACGAACCCATTTAGTCCATCTTTGACCCACTGTTGCTGTATCTTGGTGTGGATTAAAGGGAGGAAACGGCGGTAAACCACTGCGTGGAACTTGCGATGTTGTTGTCGCGTTTGTAGCGTTTGACGTTGTTGATGATGATGCGTTTTCAGCATTGATATCTTGACCTTCGGTATCCATAATATAGTTTTAGGGTTTTTAGGACCTCGTCGCCACTTTTATATCCTCTGTTATTCAACTTTTATAACATATATTTACTCTGCTATATTATACATATATACTTGCTCTCTGGCTTAGCGTCTCCCAATCTAATGTCTCGTGACCTAATCTTATATGTCAATCACTTCAGCTGACCAATCAGCATTTGGATACAACAATCATGTAAACAACGGTAGGCTGTTTTGAAATCAGTGGCAAAAATTACGTACAGTACCTGAAAGAGAGCTCGTCCTTTGCCTGGATGTTGGTCATTCACATCTTCTTTCCATGATATGAAGGCGTCTTCTTCAATGATTTCCAGATCATATAACGTCACAAACATACGTAACAACAATCCTGAAACAAAATATAAAGATATTGTTTTGATTCAACATCACAAATATACAGTCTATTTCACGAAACTTTGACCACAAATCTTCATAATGAGATCCACAAACCAGTTTGCAAACTACGCATTTGATTGGCTTCTTTTACTTCAGCGATCAATCAGGGATTTTGTTTATAAATTGGCTTGTGAATTCCAATATGAACTTGCGAACTTCGCAACGAACTTGCGAACTTCGCAACGAAGTTCGGGACATTTGGGGTCAAAGTTTCGTGAAATCGACTATAACAATCCTAAGTGAAAGTGCAGTGAGCTCAGATGTGCTGGATACTGTTTTGCCGGATGGTACCGGATAGTAGTCTAGGGAAAAATGATAACCGTATAATAGTGGTACTCGACTATTTTCCCCCATAATATATACTATATTGTTTTAGTATACATTATAAGTCCATAAATATATCTGGTGCAGGAGTGGGCAGCTAATCTACAGCAGAGAGCAGTTTACATCACGAAAACATTTTCTGTCAAGTAATTGTTCTTGCTCCACAATTTTGCAACGCACAAAAAAGACAAAGCATACGTTTTTACAGTTTCATAGTACCAGATTACGCCAATATTACGGTCTGATACTTCTTTGTTTTCAGCCAAGTACCACGTAGGTACACGGAACTCTCGCTATTTGCGTACTTACATTTTGCTGGTACCATATGACCTTACCAAACCCAATGTATTCAAACCGTAATTAAGCCTGTATATGGGCACGTCTGACATGTCTTAGCATGAAAAATGATTGGATTGATGGGACGAAGCATAAGGAATGAGTCGATTCTAGTGTTTGTGTGTGCAGTTGTCGTCCTTCTTGTTCTAACTCGTGGTTTCAGGTTACTGAATTAATACCTTTCAGAAACTTGTACTTTATGTACTTCATTTTAAAGACTAAGTCTTAAAGACTAGGTCTTAAGTATGTAGCAGCTGAAGTACGCGGCAATGATCATTGGAGTATCAGCCAGGTACGACTAAAAATCTTGAATTATCACATCAGGGCTTTATCCAACCACCAACTCACCTCCGGTAAACGGAAGTCAAAACTCAATCTTGGATTGAGTTTTTAAACTGAATCTTTCCCCCAACGAAAAGAAAAAACAACAAAAAATCATTTTCACACGCTTTAGTTTTGGGAATTCCAAGAAACAGGGTTATTTGAGCTGTTTTGTTTTTCAAAATGAAACGACATGTTTATGTTATAAAGTTACCTCTGTCGTATATTTTGTGTCTTGTGCCCACCATGCTTAGATGGCATGCATGTTTGGATTTCTGATAAATATTTCGATCAAATCAGCACAAAATGAAATGGAATGAATGATTGAAGAATAACAAAAAAATTAATATTACAAATAGAAAGTAATTTTTTCAACTAAAATCGAAAATTTACACAACCTTGAACTGGAAGAGTAAAAAAGCAGCAGAAAAAATACGCTCGACTATGAGTACATCGATGCATATTGCCCGCGAAATGTTTACATTCGCAAACCACGCGGTTATATCCGAGCAAGGAAGCGGCAACATAGTCTAAGATGCGGAAATAGCAAAATCTTTCAAGGACTTTCCACCTTTGCTACATTCCTGCGTCACAAAAACGGAATCTTTTCTAAAACGGGGGTCAGCAAAAGTGCTTGGATAAAGCCCTGTCGCATCCTACTTCCAATAATATCCCGCTAAATATTACAGCATACCGGATAATGCCGGATGTATGTTACCGGATATCCGATACCGGTATCCGGCACATCCCCATACAAATATAAGCCTGTTTAGTGTTTCAACATTATAAACATACGTTAACAATACATACATACATGCAGTGTACATAACAATAATCCTGCATGAAAGTCAAGATATCGTTTCAAGGCATTTGCATATCCGAATTAGAAAGAATAAATACAAGTACAGTGTACATGCCTTCAGTAAATACACACCTTTTGGAAATTCGTTGCAATGACAGAATACTTGCAATGCATATAGGGCACTGACCTAAAATAGTGAGAGCAGATAATATACCAATATGAGGAATTGAACGATGCAACCCTCCAATCAGGCATTTGGTTTGCAAGAACATACATTGAAAGTTTGGGTCGGGATGTTAAATTATATTTCAACTTAAATTAATAAGTTCATAAGCTATCGTATATTACCTAATAAACGTCCAATCTTTAATGAAAGCCCCAAGTTTTGAATCATTCGTCAAACCACTTTTTGTGGTAAACAGCCCTCTTTATTTAAAGGCGTCTTATCTAATAGTGGCGTTTATAAGAATGAAATGGCCAAAGAATTTCATATTTAATTACAAGCTTTCGGCTACCAGTCCGTAACCTTCGACGGGTATATAACTTATACCCGCAGGGCGTTTATTAGATCCTATTTTTCATCTGAGCATCTACAATATGACCGAAACTACTCTGCGAACAGCACACTGCAATACTATACCTGCAGTTGGATATTATCATTCAAGAATTTCTGCAACAGAGGTTAAAATGAAAATCAGAATTTGCATCACGATATTAATGATATGTTCATATGCTGAAACACGAAAAATGGATTCCGTATTAAAAACACATTTACATTAAAGCCGACGTGCTGAACGATGCAAAGCTATTGTCATAGAACACTTTAAAAATGGGTGTGTCTCCACCACGTTAGAAAGATTCCAAATAGTTGGACGTTTCGGGCAGAGGATTTTCTGAAGAAAGTGGGGTCATCTCGACAGGGTAGGGAGTGAATAGGTTTGCGGATCGGCGGATTTTGACCTAAAATTAATCGCAGATTCGGATCTTATTCATCTCTTGGATTCTAGATTTTTTGTTGGATTTGCTATTGATCGGCACGGAAAAGCAGTCACCAAGCAGAATCCGAAATTTAAAATTATCAGTACCCCACTGGGATACCAGGATCCAACGTTCTAGCCCCTATCTGAGAATCCAGTATCCCACTTCCGGATATTAGTTACCATAAATTGTGGCATGAACCACCACAGACGTATACAGTACATGTCTCTCATTGTATAAGAACAAGAGGCTCAAGAGTCAACAACTAGACCACCAAGTTAGAAATCAAATGCTGGCTATTTTTAAGAAAGCAGACTCATAGTATTCCAAGCTATTGAGAGACGCCTGGAGACATTTAGCGTTATCCTAATGTTTGAAATTTTGTAATATCCAATTGGGATACAAGTCATTCCAAGTTTGATATCGAAAACAAAATTTTAGTATCCTGTGGATATCGGGATACTGCAAATTTTAGACCCTGCCAAGCGTTAACAGACAAAAAGAAAGGTTTCTCATGGACAAGTAAAAAACGTATATTGTACAAAACTTGGATTATACAATAATACGTGGGTTAAAAAATCGGCTACCCTTACCTCCTACTCGTTCGTATCCATCAAATACTTTATGAGAGAGACGTGTACTACAACATTATATGTAGTATTTATTTTTTATTCTGCCTGAAACCAAACGATATAAAAGATGAGCAAGCCTTGAAATAATTTAAATCTCACCTTCATATTTTTCATCATTAATTTCTCCTGATCCTGAATCTCTTTGTCCAGCGGTTGATTACGATCAACGTTAGGAGCTAAACTTGTTGTCATGGTAACATACTTCAAAACACTTAAAGGGGAAGTCAAGTCCGTAATGTAAACAAACGGTTTGTTTACATTTTGAACTGCTGTATTTTTTAAAATATGATGTACTGTCTCAAAATCTAACACCATTTTGGTTCGTTATGCTTCTACATGAATATGAAATAGAGTTTGTGTTCAGAAAAATTCGAAACATTCAAAATTTGGGCAATGTTTACCTCAGAGGGCCCTCTATTGTTATGCGCAGAACCGATGCGCAGAACGGAGTTAACTTCCCCTTTAATTTATTAAATGTTTAATTAAATGGCTTTATTTTGCGTGTCTGTTTACACAAGTCAAATAGTCATAATCATCGTCTGAATGTCTGATTGCTTCAAAGAAGCGCATTATATTAATATTGTCCTATTTCCTGACACTCAGATTATTTAAGCTCGGGCTGACATTTCAGCCCGGGTTTGACTATAAATATAGCTCTGACTAAAGTCAGCCCGGGCTCAAACTGCTCATGTAAATCGTGAGACGTGATGCAGTTTCAGCTCGTTTAATTTAACCCTAGTTGAAACAGCTGTGTCAAATCCTTGAAAACTTAGAATTTACCTATGCGAAAATTTTGTTGAAAGTGTAAACAAATGCACAATTCAAACTAAAACCTGCATTTTCCCGGGACAGGGGGGTGTCTCACTGAATGAGATCATTAAACTGAATGGGCTATCACATTTAAAAACCAAACTCCCCTATGGAGGACCTCTGCTTTTAATTTGGGGATTTTTACCCTTCTGGAATGCAAAAAAAACTGTGTAATTGACCCCTCTGGAGGAGACTTGAACCCCCTTTGGACGTGCATTTTTTTGCATTTAATTAACCCCTCTGGAAACAGGTCCTCGACGGGGGGGGGGAGGTTGGGTCCCAATGAGATTGACAACGGGAAAATTGTCGCAAAAGACAAAAGGAGTTTGCACTTGGGACACCGACAGATCATTTTAATTAATACTGAACAGTGGCACCACCAACTCTATGCCACCAGTTAAATTGAGCACTTGAGCACTATCATTTGTGACTGACAGACAGAAGAAATGCCTCCCCTGGCCGTGTTCAACCCTTTTCGCGGTAGACCTTCAAGATTTTGGATCATTTTACTCGTATCTTTTCAACTTTTATTCGACGTCGTTGTTATCATGCTTCACTCGAGAAGTTCTGCCTTCAAGAGACAAGTTGAATTTGACAATGTTGTCCACGCACAGCTTCCCACGGTGTTAAAAATTCGCGGTCCACAGGCTCGACAAATGAATGCGAATAAAGAGCCCACGAAGAAGCCTACGATAGATATGGTTAATGATTATCAACCATGGATCGATTTTAAATTCGTTTATCCAGAAGTACAACCGATTATCTTAGGGCCGAGGGATTTTTATTTGGTTGTTGTTGTCAATTCGGGTGCGAAGGGAGACGAATTCAGACAGCGTAGAACGAAAATTCGGGAAACCTGGGCAAGCAAAAGGACATGTGAGTATGCAAATGCTATGAATAACACCAAGTTAAAAGACCTGAAATGGATTTTAGTGTTTGTGCTTGGCAAAGCTGGAGTAGAGGTAGAAGATAAGCGAAATATCGACGAAGCCAAGCTACACAATGATATGATAATTGGTGATATCAATGATAACTATTTGAACAACATTTTGAAATTTTACATGGGACAACTTTGGGCTTCATTGCTTGGCACGAAGTATACTCTTAAAACTGACGATGATGTGTATGTCCGAATACCAAAGATTATAGAGTACCTTGTTTCCGAGGGATCACCCCCGTGCTTCTATGGCGGCGAGACATACCCAAATTCAGGGGTTGCTCGTTGGGCAGGTGGGAAGTGGAGTATAAGTAAAAAATACTTCGATGAACCAAAATTCCCCCCATTCAATGCTGGTGCCTTTATAATCATCTCGGCCGATCTGTTAGGTAGTCTTTTTAACTATGTCTACATCCGAAAGCCATTTCACACTGACGATGCGTATGTTGGTGTAGCCATGAGAGATTTTAAAGTTAAGGTTGTTCACATTTTGTCGTTCGATATCAAGAATAATATGGCGGCGCTGATCCGTACGAAAAACAACTGCGATATTTTGAAGTTAATTGCATATGGTCACAAAGTGGACACTGGCGCAATGCAACATTTGCATGGAAGGGTCGAAGATTTATGTCATAACAGTATCACACTCCAGAATTGTAAATGAATAATATATGCTTGGGAACAATTGAGAATAGGTATTTAATTTAGAGCTGCTCCCATCGGTTAATTTTCGTAATCGATTAATCGTTGTCAACAATCGATTAATATCGATTAATCGTATTGATAATTAATTTAAATATGAAAAGCCCATGGTGGTTTGACAGGTTTCAAAGTAAATTTGCGAGATTCAGACTCGTATGGATAATTGGTTTATTTCCGCACGCTGCAATGTTGGACGCAAATGGTAATAAATTCTTTTAATAAAAAAACTTGAAAGATATTTTCACAACACTGGTAACCTGATCAGACTATGGTAAACTTTGCATGCTGTGAGTGAAATTGATATTTGACCCACAATGTTTTGAATCAATTTGTCATTTAATGTTTCAAGGCCACTGATTCTTGACGAAATAGATCAATTGATATAAGTTTTGATTCAGAAAGCTATGCCAAATGCATAAAATTTACGTCGCACTACACATACACACACACACACAGGTCAACCTTGTGTTACCCCACACACATGCAGGTCCAACCTGTTACCCACTACCCCCCCCCGGTAGCAGATGTGAAAACCCCCGAAAAGGGTGGATTGGTGTATTGTATAGACAAATTTGCCTATTAACATCTGTTTATACCCAATAGACCCATAATTGCACTGACGTCACAAATCTTTAGAGTGTCCTCCAGATGCTCCCTAACAATATCTATTCGGGTACAACAACCACATACAGTGCAAAAATTAACCATTTTAATACAAAATTATTATAAACTTTTACAAAATTAAATTTGCTTTGTTTACAAAAGTTATGCACAGATTGCTATTAATTTGTCCTCCTGCAATGGTTTATTCGCAACTTTTCATAAACTCGCATGCCTGATTATCATTGTTCTAGTATACAGGGTGTCCCAAAAAAAACGGAAACTATTGAAATCACCAGTAACAATTTAATTGTTAGAATTTGAATGCCTTAGCGCTCTGTTGGTTCCCACGAGTGCATAATTGATTGACATAAGTAAATTTTATGCATAAAAAAACTGTTTAAGAAGCTGTTTTTAATTCCCAGGAGCAGAAAATTGCGCACTTTACCAGGAGATATTCCTAACTAATGTATCGATCAATTCGAAACTTCGCCATCCCCCCCCCGGGCCGACCCCGGGAATTTGAACTTTTTGAAATTTGACTGATCAAATTCTCCACCCTCTGTGCAAAAAATGTCTTCAAATGCCCCACTGTAACAAGAAATTAAGCGTTCAAATGCCCCACCTTCATATGAAAATTATGAAACAGTAAATACAAAAAGTGCAAAATATATGGAAATGTTTTCGACAAGATAGCGAAATTCGCGTAAACAGTTTGGATACCTTGTGGAAATTTAACAGTTTTACACGTTATGTAGTACATACCTTCAAATAAAACACATAGATTTTCCATGCCCGTTTCTTTGAGCCAGTTTTTTCACAAAATTGAGGCCGTTTCCCTCGAAATCTGAGAAAACTGTATTTGCCGCCATTACGAAGTATTTTCTGTGCATGCAGGAAGCACGCGAAAACGGGCAACATTTTAAGACTTCCGGTTCAAATTCCCCACCCCGTTATCAAATGCCCCACCACATGGAAGACTTAGAACGTCAAATTCCCTACTCCCTGGAGAAGACTTGAAGTCAAATTCCCGGGGTATGCCCGGGGGGGGGGATGGTGAAGTTTCGAATTGATCGATACATAAATTCTAATACATGCACCTTGTCGATATTTTACGCATCATTACGTCCAGCTGTTTGGTAGGGCATTCAAATTTAACAATTAAGTAAGTGATTTCAATAGTTTCCGTTTTTTTTGGGACACCCTGTATAGAAGCATAGAATAAAACAAAGGTAACTAAGCAGTCTAAGCTTTAGAATTATCTACATGAGTGAATATGGTATGTTGGTAACTCTAGGCAACGATGAAACAAGGGAAATATTGAATACCTTGGGGTATCCACTAATTATACAGCTCAGTGCATGGGGAAATCCCTGATCAGAGTCTCGCGCGGGAATGTTTCGTGTGCCCCACGCAGTGGCAAGATGGCCGCCGTGAAGAGCGTTAGACAATTTGCAAATTCTGTTCGTTTTATTTGCGGTTTAAACGTTCTCTCCCGACGGTATGCCAGCACTGATGGTTCATTTCATCCAAGGAGGTCCCTGTTGTATATTCCTGGCAATGATGAGAGAAAAATTAAGAAAGCGTCAAGCTTGAATGCTGATATTGTTGTACTTGATTGCGAAGATGGAGTGGCTCTGAATCGGAAGGTATGTCGTCACAGAATAGAGACCATACAGAAGTCCGACGACTTGGTTTGGCCTATGATTTTGGTGTAACCGTTGCAATGCTTCCCCCATGTTCTTAGCCAGTGTCCTTTTAGAAGGAGGCATTCACCCCCCCCCCCTGAAAATATTGAAAATGGCAGGGGGTGAATGTCTCTCTGGGCTGAATGCTGATTGGCTGATCAAGGCTAGTTTTCAATTTTCATTGCTAGGTGACACTCACTGACAGTTGTCTATTTCTATTCTGAAATCATCGGCAAGCATCATAAGCAGGTGATTTTCACTATCGTAGTTTGTCTGTGATCTTCGTTTTGTTATCACAGACTATCGCAACAAAACAATTTTTTTATCTACCATGACAGCCTGCAACACTTGAGGACGAATTATGACAGACGGTGTTCATTTGTCCAAAGCCACCTGCGATGCTTGCCGACAGTGATGATCAGTCTGAAAAGCACCCATCTTGTTTTAGGCCGGAAAATTTCGTCCGCCACTAAGAAAACATTGACAGCCATTCACCAGAGGCTGTGTGTAATTCGCCGGTACTTGCAGTCATGACAAGCTGAAATTTTTAGCCCAGTCTTGCACTCGGACAATTAGGGCTGCAAATAAATATTTGACTTGACAGGACATTTGTCCGATCACTTTTAATTTTGGTCGGACATAACTTGAATTTGGTCGGACAAAAACCAACACCACTAAATTTGGTCAGACATATACAGTATACGTCGCAAGATATATATAAGTCACGAGAAAAGTATGTATAGCCATTACGATGCAATGTTAAGTTAAATGCTAGAATGCCTCATAAATATTATTGCAAAATGCAAATTGAGTGAATTTGCAATCGCATTTTGTGACAGCAAGAAAATGTATAATGTGACAATTTTTTTTGTGATCAGACCAATGTCCGATCAAAATTACTTTTGCTCGGACATTTGCCAAATTTAGTCGGACATTGTCCGATGTCCGACAGTAATTTGCAGCCCTGGACAATATACCAAATAGACAAAGCTTGCAAGCCTTTGCCCACCACTCAACTCACAGCGCCCTTGAAGCTTCGACCTTCCATTCTTTGCATACTTGCTTCCCTCATCAATTAGCCAGAGCCTCAGTAGAGCAAAACAGTATTGACCATACCAAAATTATTATTAGCCAGGACTTCAAATGGGCACCTGAAGGGCTGCTGAAAAGCACAACGTGTATTGCTATTTCAACAAGTTGTCATGAGGATATGTGTACACTGCTTGTTCCCAGCTTGTAGACAAGCAATACAAGTTGTGCGGTTCATCTATTTGCGGATCATGGAGGAGGGCATTGGTCAGAAATGGATGAACATTTGGTCAAAACGAAACAGCCTGCTTTCTTGCATTAACTAGAAAGAAGCGAGGGAAGTGATCTCGAATGTTCTCAACACAACATCATTTGGTTCAAGTGAAGTTGCAGTCCGGATAAATTCTGTCGATGCTGAAAAACTAGCACTGGAGGACATGAACACCTTCATGCAAAGTCTGACCATTCCTACCACCCTCCTGGTTCCTAAAGTAGAGCATGCCAGACATTTGGAATGGGTAAGTATAACTATAAGAATGTCAGCTAGAATGTTAGCTTTTGAACAAGTACACTTTGCCAGGGTGCATTATAAACAATAGTGATGAACAAGTGGGCTTATAATCGGGTGGGCTTATATTCGGGGCTTATATTTGGAATGAGGTGAGCGTTAGTACATGTGGTGGGCTTATACATGGGGGGCTTATATTTGAGAGGGCTTATATTTGGAGGTTTACGGTATGCAAAAATTTCACGGTTACGCTGTTTGTTGTATTTATTGGTATTTATGTGCTACCAAGTTAATTTAATTACAACATACGCTACTATGCCAGGAAAGATGATTGTACACCAAGGCTTGCTGTAACTCTAGCTACGCTGAAGATCTTCCGATTAGACTACATCGCGAATACACCCGGGGCACTTTGCCAAAACTTAATTGGCAAAGTTACCTATACAAACAAGCAAATAAAACTTAATGTCATATGAAAACGTGTTTTATAGAAAACTTGCTTGTCTGGCTTTAGGGCCATGCCCAGCCAGTCTTAATACTAGATCTTCTAGATCTCTGATATTCTCTATGAATGTTTCCCACCAGCATAACCAACTAAAAGTGAAGCCCAATAATCCAGTAACTTTTGCAATTGACTTGTCACTTGAGCATCAAGCAGCTATGATTTGAAAAAATGTATTTCTTTAGATCAATGATAAAATTTTTCCAGTGGCCAAGACACTAAAACCTGAGGTGAAACTCAAGCTGATCATTTTTGTCGAGTCAGCGCTTGGTCTGTTGAATCTACGCGAGATTCTAGAAGCCGGAGTGGATGAAACAAATCTGTTTAATCTTGAGGCTGTTGTATTTGGATCTGATGATTTCTTTGCAAATATTGGTGGGGACCATTCAACATAAATTTACAGTTGTTTAATATTTAAAATTTATATAAATTTTGTAAATTGGGCCGTTGTTTTTTACTGGTTTTTGATCACTCAACGTTGTATAGGTGCCACTAGAACGCATGATGCAAAGGAACTCATGTTTGCTCGCCAATCGATTGTCATACATTGCAAAGCTTTTGGATTACAGGCCATTGACATGGTACATATTGACTTCAAAGGTGGGAAAATTTTTATAAACTCTAACTGATAAAATTTACAATGGTTTTACAGTATATACTGATTCTATGTAATTTTGTAATAATAACAGCTACTGAGCTAGTACATCCATATTCCCTTTCAGATCTAGACAGACTAAAAGAAGAATCGATAGAAGGGGCTAGGATGGGTTTCACAGGTACATTTGTGATCATGCTTCGCAACAGGGGTGTAGCCATGGGGAGTTCTCCCCCCCCCCTTCCCCCCCCCGCACTTTTTTCTGAAGCAATTTTTGTGAAATTTTGACATATATACAATTTCATGGAAATTCGGAAGTTTCGACGCTTTCACAACCATTTTGTAGTGATGTTTTATTTTTCTACTATGAATTTTCTAGTCTGAAGGAATAGTAACTCTAAAGTTCACTAATTCTACTTGTTTCATATAGGAAAACAAGTTATCCATCCCAATCAGATTGACATTGTCAACGAAGCATTCTCACCTTCACCTGAGAAGATTGAATGGGCAAGGGAGCTGGTAGCAGCATTTGAACAACAATCAAGTGAAGGAATTGTGAGTATACGAAATATTGACAGGGCGGGTTTGTTACTTCTCAGACAAACTTGTATTTAAAGAAACATTTATGGTGAAGTTGTAGAGTTTATTTATGGACATTTATTACCGTGATATCAAGACAACAATATATACAGGGTCAGCCTAGTCCCAGGCTCTCTCGCTATTCGCTGCTTTGATATATTTAAATAAGTCTTAAAAGTTTTATGCCTGGGTGTGTAGCGGTGACGTCACACCTAGGTCCCAGTCTCGTACTACATCCACTTTTTTCTCGCACTTGCTTCAGAACGACTGGGACTAGGCTGATACAGGGTGTATAAAAAAAAAGGTAATCGAACTTTAGCGCGCTATTGTATCTGAATTACTCTGCGTATGAACGAGATTTTTTCGCATTCGAAAGATCATGCTTTTAGCTGTTGAATGATATCTTCTTCATGCCAAATGGATAAAAAATGAGCGAATACGAATCCGATAAAAATGTTAGTCAGAATCGCATATTTTCACCGTTGAGAGTTGGGTCTAAAATCATTGAAAATGAACTCCCTTTAGGACTTAAGTTGATGAGTTTCGCTTTATTAAACTGCACACATATTCATAATTATTATTAAGTAGGAATAAATCTTAGCTAAGCTACGACACGTTCGTGATTAATTGCTTTTTCTTTTGTTATGCATTGTTTTAATTAGGCACAGAGGTGAAAATATGCGATTTTGACTAACATTTTTAATCGGCCTCGTACATGCTTATTTTTTCTCCACTTGGCATGAAAAGCATGTCATTGAATAGCTAAAAGCCTGATCTTTCCAAATATGAAAACCAATTGTTCATACGCCGAGTAATTCACGTATAATAGCGCGCTGAAGTTCGATTACCTTTTTTTATACACCCTGTATACGTTGCCGACTTGAGTCCTTTGTGTTTTGCTCATGAATTGTTAATGAGTTTGAGAATATATCTTTCTTTCTTCTGACAGGGAGCGATCACATTTCGAGGTCAAATGATTGATATGCCCTTGGTCAAACAAGCTTTCAACGTTCTGACTATGGCAAAAGCAACTAAATCAAAGTAGATTTTAGTGGAAATGTTTACATCAAGAGGTAGAAACGTTACTGACAGGTTACTGTACGTGTCTCCACAACTCGCCACTAATCACATGCATAGAAAATGGGATAATTCCAGCAAGATTTTGCCCACACACCAACCAAATCCTCACCCGAACCGCACCTAACGAGGCCAAGAAAAGAAATACCCGCTAGGTTTCCTATTTCTTGTTGCAAAAAGATTGGTCAGGTCTTTTGTTTCTGTAAATTTTTTTCCAAATTTCATGTTCATGCATGAGAGTGAAATCTTATGCCAAATACGGCAGCACATATGGCACAAACTTTGGTTTTAACGTCATGTATCAACTTTGAAACAAAGAGGTTATACTTTATATTGGTATTATACAAAACTAATGCCAAACTAAATTGGGTGCGAAAAATTGCTCCAAACTCTTTGCAAACTTCAGATAAAAAGATTAGCGTCAGTGATTTCAGTAGCCAAAAGTTATAGATGTGGTCGGAAAACCGTAAACGCAGGTATTTTTTTGCCCTATATTATTGCATTTAACATAAAACTGATAGTTTAAATATAGTGACTACATTTTATTGTCTTTTATATGAATTATGGGATTCCAATATCTAGAAGGAATTTCTTTAATTAATTAAGATACACTGTAAATTAGCATAATTGTATAGACCATTGCACATGACGTCACAGCGCCGGTGACGATGCATCTGGAGGACAAATTAGCAATCTATGCATAATATAACTTTTGTAAACAAAGCATATTTTGTAAAACTTTATAATAATTTTGTATTAAAATGGTAAATTTTTGCGCTGTGTGTGGTTGTTGTACCCGAATAGATATTGTTAGGGGGCATCTGGAGGACACTCTAAGGATTTGTGACGTCAGTGGAATGGGTCTATATACTATAATTATAATATATTTTTATCTCGTTATATTCAGATATTGTTTCAGTGACCAAAGCCCAGATCAAACAAGGTTGAGAGTGCACAATTTGTGACTTTCAACTTTCATCCTCGTCATGCACGGATTTTCTAGGGGGTGCCCCCTGCACCTCCCCAAAATATTTTGTACCCCCCAAGAAAGTTTCCCCACCCACCTAGAGAAATTTGCACCCCTCCAAAAATGTTTATAAATGCTATAAATTTTGAACTAAGTAAGACTAAAACATGGATTTTGAATAAAAAATCTCAAAATTTCCTGGTGACTTCGGCCCCTGGGGGCTTTGACCCCCGTCAGCAAGAATAGAAACTGTGCCCCCAGACCCCTACTGCAGCTTGTTCGGCGTCGTTAAGCGCCCCGCCACTCACCTCCCCCCTAAATATGTTGTATTAAACAACAAAACTACGGTTATATACTTATGATTTCTTTTATGAAACTTGTTACGGCTCTTAAGCCTGGTTCACAGTTGGAATTTTGTCGGCGATTTTGTGTTTCTGACGGATGGAAATGAGTGAACTCGCACATAAAAGTATAGAGTCGTTTTTCAGAAGTAAACAATTGTAAGTCTTCTGCATGTCATTCATTCCATCACATTTGCCAAGAGGAGAAAAATCGCCGACAGAATTGCGAGTGTGAACTGGGCTTTAGGCCAAATAAAAAAAAATTCTTGGTTAGCGTCACACTCTCACAAATTTTCAGAGGCGGGCGGGCGTTTTTTTTTAAATTTTTACTCGTTTTTTAATTTTTTAATAGTATTTTTTGGGGGGATGGGGGCGGTTTTTCCACCATATCAGTGAAATTTTTTGTACTGATGTTGCGAAGGCCGCCATTTTGCTATAAGAACCTTGTTTATAAAATAACATGTATATAACGCGTGTTCTGATTGGTCGAAACCCGTGTTTGGATCAGGCCATCCAATGTCGCAACATTCCCGCGTGTTTGGATCAGGCCATCCAAACACGGAAACCATGAAGTAATTGTATAATACCCACGCCTACGCGCTCCTATCGATCAGTATATAGCGTGAAGGTCTGAGCATGAGAAAAATTTCAAATATTAAACTGTTTTAAGCTGTAAAACGAAGAGATTTACATAAAAATTTTTTTTAAAAATTCAGAGGCGGCAGAAATCGAGAGGCGGGCGGTGACGCTAACCAAGTTTTTTTTTTATTTGGCCTTAATTAGCATTGCCTCGTGTTTTAAAGCCAGATATCATTATTCATTACGTTTCAAATACTTCATCATCGCCTTGTTTACAGGTATACACGGTGCGCTAAAATTCATTTAAGATCGTTTTGAACGCTTCTTTGAAATGTCTATTCATCAGCGAGTATATAACGGGGTTACAAAGTGCGTTAGAAAATGCCATCCATTGCGAAACAAGTTGAAAACCTTTGGGTCGTTCTTTTGTGTAACCCACTCCGAGGAGAAACGCGTCGAAAGCAAAAGGAGACCAACATACTAGAAATGTGACAACCGTCGCCAAGAGTATTCGCGCCAAATGAGCTTGATGGGACACTCTTTTTCTATATTGCTTTAAAAAGTCTTGCTTATTTACCCTGTTTTTCCATTTTTGCACAACGGAACTGACAGAGATCTTTTTGAATCTTTCTTGAGTCTTTTTGTTGTCTGAAGTGGATTCGCTTGTCGGTTCTTCTTCGCTTATGGAGTCGGATGGGTCTTCCTGTGAACATGAAGCGATGTTCTCTTTTGACTTCAATTTGAAAGAAACGTTTATGGTGGACGGTTTGAGACTTTGCAACGGTATTTCTTCTGAGGTGCTTTGTTCTGCCGTTTGCTCTTTTTGTGCCTAAAATTGATTGAATTATTGATTGATGGAATTGTTGGGTTTTTAATTATTGATTGATAGAATTATTGATTCATTGAATTATTGATTGATGGAATCATTCGTTCATTGAATTATTTATTGATGGAATGGAATTATTGGTTCTTTTAATTATTGATTGATGGAATTATTGATTCATTGAATTGATTGATGGAATGGAATTATTGTTCTTTTAATTGTTGATTGATAGAATTATTGATTCATTGAATTATTGATTGATGGAATTGTTGGTTTTTCAATTATTGATTGATGGAATTATTGAGGTATTGAATTATTGGAATTATTGATTCGTTGAGTGATTATTGATCGAATTATTGATACATTGAATTATTCATTGATTAAATTGTTGATTGAAAGTGTTTTAGTAATTCATACGTATTGGTTGATCGTGTTATTGAATTATTGATTCATTGAATTATCTGATCGGATTACTGATCATTTTATTGTTTGGTTTGCCAGTTGGATTTATTGATTATTCGATCGGTTGACGGCAGGCTCCGATTTAGAATAATTGTTTCGCCGGTTTATCACAAATGTTTATAGAATAATTTCACTAAATATTTTAAACTATATCGTCAAACCTGCGTCAGCGCGTCAGTGAGTTGGCTTTGCAACATCTGTTGCGCGTCGTTTCCTTTATTCATCAAATCCAACTTTCTCTTCAATTCCATCACAGTGTAACGATTCGCTTCGTCAACGGACGCCTCCGAGAACGTGACGGACAGTCGCCGAGCGGTTCCCGAATTTTTCTTGATAGTCTTACTGTGCATCATTATGAACTTGATAATTCTTACATAAGCAATAATCATTACTATCAGAGGGACGGTGAAAACACACACGAACAGGAACTCTGCGTAGAATTTTGATGAACTGAAATCTAAAAGACAACTGTAAAACGAAGGTATTAATTTTATCTCCCCTCCTCCAAATAAAGGCGGACATGCGTAGATAATTGCCAATACCCAGATACCAATCACCGAGATTTTGACCATCTTCCCCAGAAACACCGCGGACAGTCGTTTTTGAACTGTTGTGACCAGATAGCAGCGATACATACTGAAACATAACAGCGTCAACATTGAAGCGCTGGCCACAAAAGTAAGAAGAAAGCCATTAATGATACACATTGCATGGCCAAATAACCAACGGCCGTTGGTTAAGACTGTGATGTAACTAAATGGCATCAGCATTGATCCGGTCACGTCTGTGATTGCTAAACTTCCAATGTACATGTTTGAAAACGTTCGCAGGTTCTTGAAACGGTAAATCGCTAGCAGGACCATTGAATTGCCGATGAACGAAGCGATACTCACCAGTATCAAGGGTATTGTTCGAAACGCAGACTCTACTGTCACCCTACCATAATCCGAGCTGGTACCAATCATTTCATTACCGGACGAATTTCCTTGAATACTTGTCATTTTTTGACAGGAAATATTTTTACTATAATTGCCTCTTCAAGTTCAACTTTATAAGTGTTTCGTTTTTCTCTTGTTGTGGTTAGTTTTAAATAAACCTTTCCCTTTCACAATGTTGACATAAAATTATCAAAACAATCAAATTTTTTCCGTTTGTTTATATTGGTCTAGTCTTTGCGTATTGTATTGATCACGTTTTAGTTTGAACTTCCTGTGTTTTGTTCAAAGCGATATTTTTGCTTTCTTACTCTCATTACGCCGCGTAAAGCAATCTCGTATCATTAATAATACATGAGGAAGTTTAGCCAACCATATTGCATGCTATTTCGAACATGGTTAATAGAGGAGATGGTTTGGAAACTCATTAGCCTTTCCATAAAATCACAATAAACCTCATTATCTATGATGTTCAGGTTTATGCAAAAATGTGGTCTTTTATCGTCACGTGCGTATTGTATTTTTCCCAAGTCAACCCAATAGGGATGTTCAAAATAACCTATTGTTGAAGTCACGAATGGACAACTGAACAAAACCTTTGCTATTGGCTGGTTGGGCAAAAATACAATACGCACGTGACGATGAAAGACTACATTTTTTCATAAACTTGAACAAAAACATAGATAATAAGGTTTATTGTAATGCTAATGAGTTTCCAAACCATCTCCTCTATTAACTATGTTTCGAACCATCCTCAAACATATGGAAAACTAGTTTCATATTATTCTGACCACTGCAGAGGGCAACGAAAAATCCCAGCCTAGACGTACGTCACAGAATAAAGACACACCGGCAGAAGGTCGACTCGCGCAAAAAAGCGTAACGCTGCCACGCCATGATTCTTGAATATTATCAGGGGGGTGAATGCACGTATTTGCAAGAAATTTTAATGATCCTTTCTTTACTTAATATTAACTGTGTGATTCTTATCGAAAACTTCCGACAGCACCTCCAACCTAGAGCAGGCTATATACCCTTAAAATGTAAGGCATGCGGGTAATTGGTTTTTCCGGGTCGTACAAGCCATGTGTAAAAAAAAACAGCATAGGGGATTTTTGTGGAGTATGGATTTTTTTAGAAAAAACAACGCAAAGCATGCGGAATTTTTTAATTAATTTGCCCTGGGAGTGGGAAGCTCTAAAGTACCGTTTCCGGGATTTATTTTGAACACAAAGATACTTTTAATCAGTGATGGAGTCGGTACTATAATTAGCATAATTTCCGATGACGCATGCGTAATAATTATCGACCCCTTCCCCAATCTCTATCAACATTTGTTTTGAGTTCAAAATATTGTAATTATTCTCGAGTGGTAAATATCGTGTGAAAAAATGGTTTAAAATACAATATCGCCGGCCGATATCGTATCTCCAAGCTCATGGAGGTAGGTTTTGTAGCATTATATAATATTTTGTCTTTGATTTGTCTTTATTCATTTAAAACCCTGAGTTCATAGCCATCGAATTCACCCCATGTTCGAGTGTCATAATTGAGTATTTTATAATAATTGTGTGTTCTTCTTCTGTAAATCCGAAAAGCTTGGCAAATAGAAATCAAGAGCCTTTGGCAAAGAGGAAAGTACCTCAGGGAAGCGTCTGGGAGAGAATCGATGGAATTTTACGACGATTCCCCGGTGCGCTTGAATGGTATTCGCCGTATAGACTTCGACTACGTCGAACAACCCCCAGACCCAAATGAACCGAAGGCTGACAAATACGGATTCACCGGTGGGGTTACAAAGACTGTAGAGTAAGTTATAGACCTTGTTTTGTCTAAATTTTATCAGTAGTTTATCAGGAACTCGCTTAGGAAATGTTTGGCAATAGATAGAGTTTAGTTTATAGATCGTTGGAATTTAAAGTCTGTTCGTGTTTTTTTTGTGTATATTAGTAAATTGTGACACTTAGGTCAGAATTTATTTACAAATGTTTATAAGACACTCACATGACAACTCAAGTCTATACACGAAATTTCATATAGACAGTTTGTGAATCAATTTCGTTCGTTCATTGAAGAAATTTCATTAATGTGATAGAATCCAAGTTATTTTGTTCCTTGGTCACTGATATTATTGTACAGTATACATGTGAAGTGGTTTTAACTCTGTATTGGGTTTGTCTCAGGGTTCATCTGAGGGCAAGTTTAATAATTTATTTCGTGAATTATAATGGGTCATTTCAGAAAAGGTCCACACTCCTCTCACAGAGGAAATTTCTGCCGTCCAGAAGGCGAGGGGAGGAAAATTAGTATTAGGACATCCGAAGGGGGTAGGGGGGTCAACATGTGTAGTTTCAATAAACTGTCTTTCTAGCATTATGTTATTTTTCATAAAAATTAGAGAATCATCCTTACCTGTGGATGTTCTACGAGAAAGGGAACAGAAATGGTTAAAGATGATACGAGATTGGGATACCTGGATGACCAAGAAATTTCCAAAGGTACCCAAAGCTATGTTTATGCAGACTCACTCCAATAGGCCTCCAAGCTCCGATAGATCTATCGTATTCGTGTTGCCTCAATCTTCACACTCGTTTTTATATTTTTAACAATGTCTAATGGACCTATTCCCTAATGAACAAAGTTTTGATCTCAACAAGTCTAGACAAACATTTCATCACAGCTTGAAAGAGCATCACAAAATTAGTAATATTCCGAATTGTCGTTGTGAAATGTTGAAAAGTCCGGATAATATAGCCCTGCGAAGTTTGCAGTTTTTCAGTCATTTTGTATTACGCACGGGAAATTGATACCTTTTTTTTCAGAAAGCGGTATCAATTTCCTTTGCGTAATGCAAAATGACTGAAAAATAAAATGGCTATATTATCCGCATTTTACAACATTTCGCAACAAAACTTTAGAATATTACTAGTTTTGTGATGCTCTTTCAAGCTGTTATGAAATTTTCATCTAGACTTGTTCAGATCAAAATTTAGTAATATTCCTAAGTTTCGTTGCAAAATGTTGTAAAATGCGGATAATATAGCCCCAGTGCGAAGTTTGCCGTTTTCCAGTCATTTTGTATTACTCATGGGAAATTGATACCGCTTTCTGCAAAAAGGGCTTTCACAACGAAAATTTCGGAATATTACTAATTTTGTGATCATGCTCTTTCAAGCTGTGATGAATTTTTTGTCTAGATCAAAATTTTGTTCATTAGGTAATAGGTCCATTAAGTACCCCCCCCCCCCCGACCACGGTGGGAATCGAACCTACATACTCGAACCGACCTGACCGCGTAGCTCAGTTGGCAGAGCATTGGGCTAGTATTCCAATGGTCGTAGGTTCGATTCCCACCGTGGTCAGGCATATTTTTCAAGCTTGCCCGGTGTGGATATACACTCAGAGTAACATCACAAGCATCATATTCACCTGAGTAGCTACATTACACCAACACAGAAAAAATCATGATTACTAGATTACATTGATATCGAAGGAACTAGATTCTGTTCCGAAATGTCACATACTCGAACATACCTGACCGCGCAGCTCAGTTGGCAGAGCATTGGGCTAGTATTCCAATGGTCGTAGGTTCGATTCCCACCGTGGTCAGGCATATTTTTCAAGCTTGCCCGGTGTGGATATACATTCAGAGTAACATCACAAGCATTATAACGGATTAGTTCAGCAATTAAACTTGCTTTTGTATAGGATGTTCGAAACGAATGATAAATTACGGAATCTTCCTCTGGAAATGATGCAAGAAGATCGTTTAATACCCGCTGTAAGTAATGTCATAAATCAATATGCACAAGATAGTATGGGCATTTTCTGTAATTATCTATTTCTGCGTGCAGAACATTTACTTATAGACAACTCAATTACATAACTGTGAATCTACAGTATGTGAGAGCGACGAAACTATTTATACGTACTTACCTGACTTACAGTGTAGCAATTTGCAATACAATTACGTCGCAAATACGTTAGGAGATAAGACATACACAATCTATATTATTAGTTTTAAAAGACAATTAAAAACATTCCTATTTCATATACCGTATATGACATTGTTTCTTAATATTCTATTTACTAACATTTTAACGATAATTCTTACTTTTTAAATATTTTAGACTGCAGTATTCCTAAAGTATCTAATGTTATAACGTATTTCTAAACGTGTAAATATAGCACATCCGAACATTTTTCACGAGAATTTGCGCTTTATAAATGTATTATTATTATTTTTGAGAACCGCTAGTATCTACATTCTAACATTCTATGTATTCCTCTCATCTCATTTAGATCTTAGATTTGGAATTATCAGTGAAACAGATCGAGAAAGAGCATAAATCACGTGTTGAAGCTGAGGCAAAGGCGATTGTTGTGAGGTGACGAGCACGAAAAAATGATGAGTATATTTATAATCAACCCTCATTGTCATGACATCAAATTCGTGCTAAAATTGAGTGAAAACACATTTTACTAACACTATAGAGGCTGGTAGTGCGATTTTAATCTGACACAACTTGTCAACAAGATCAAGATTTGTTCGCAACAGACTTGTAGCAAGCTTGTCAACAAGTTGTAAGAATCAAGTTGCTATAAGATTGTCACTCACAACTTGTTGACAAGTTGCTGAATTGCAGGATGATAACAAGTTGTTGGAACAACTTGTAACAAGTCTGTTGAGCTCAACAACCTTGTAGCAAGTTGTCAACAAGCCGTTGACAACTTGCCAACAAGCTGGGAACAAGCAGTGCGAACACATCCTGTTGACAAGTTGTTGGAACAGCACTGCTACAGGTCTGCTGAGGTTTGTTACAACTTGTGCGTTTTTACTTGTGTAGCGTGTGTTTGTACTCAATGCCATCCAATTCACTCGCATACGTAATTTAAAATTAAATGCTTGCATGGTACTTTAAAGCCCTGGGCAAACTAGGAAACATTGTTGCGGAAACATTGTTTCCTACCAATGTTTCGCCATGTTTCCAAGAGTGGGCAAACACTAGGAAACATTAGTGAGAAACATAGGGAAACATCAAATGTTTCTGAATTCGCTAGGAAACATTTTTGCTTCTCGGGAAGCAAATTTTGTTTCCGCAACGATGTTTTCACGGGTGGGCAAACAGGGAAACATTTGAGGAAACATTGAGAATCACAAATGTTTCCCCAACAAGGAAACATTGAGAATCACAAATGTTTGCCCAGGGCTTTATTCCATTCTATGATTACATTATCAGAACAGTGGTAACTAGGCATGATGTGAATTGGCCGGCGACGGGCATAAACATTCATTCCACGGACAGAAAATTTCCGAAAATGTCATTGTTAAAAGTTGAAAATTTTCCACTTCAAATTTATTTTCCGACGGAAAATTTTCCTGAGTGGAAATGGGCCTTAACGTACCGTAGAATTTTCTTTTGTGTCGAAGTCATTAGTTGCACACTACCGCTCAGGAAATACGCTACGTTCAGAAATACGCTACGTTTCGGTACGATATGGTTAAAGTGGAAAACCGGCTTTAGGCCCGTTTTATACGTCGAATCTTGGTCGCATCGAATGCAATTAGCCATTCTGAAGTTGATGAGTGGACTGGGACGAGTGTTAGAAAGTGCCCAAATTAAGAAATGAACTAAATCACTAAAAAGAGCATCTCAAAATTAGTAAGTATACAAAGTTTGAAGACGTTTACATGAATACACTTCGTCCCAAAAACAAAAATTACAATACATTTCATAGGAAATATCGGATTTTCGAAAGCTTATTATTCGAAGGACATTCATGTAAACATCTTCAAACTTTGTATACTTACTAATTTTGAGGTGGTCTTTTTAGTGATTTGGTTCATTTTTTAATTTGGGCACTTTTAACACTCGTCCCCAGTCCACTCATCAACTTCGGAATGGCTAATTCAAACAATAGATAATGAGATGATAAACCTCATTAAGCTTCATCATCTATCGTTTGAATTGCATTCGACGCGACCAAAATTCGACGTATAAAACAGGCCTTATATTTGTGTCGCATAAACCTTTTATTTAATGTTTTATGCATTTGTGTGTTCGTATATTGTAAATAGAGTTAACTGTGACACAAGCTTTCGTTGTAGGGATGCATCTACCTGAAAAATACAAGGAGAATTTCGATGTTTTGAGCGAGGGCCCTTCTGGAGTTACACTAGTCTTCGCTCCAGACGAAGGGCATTTGCTCGAAACGTTGAAATTCTCCTTATATTTTTCAGGTAATTGCATCCCCTACCAACGAAAGCCAGTTCAAGATTATAACTGTTGACGCACATTTTTATGAAAGCATGTTTATACAGTACTTACGGTGCTGTAAACATGCCTTTGTAAGCGCGAGATTGAAAAATCTATCAAAATAATTTTTCTAATTTATTAATTGTCTATCATAGCCTATATTTCACACTAACTATATTATATTTCTTGTAAATTTGGAAATTGGTACTTAAATAAATAAATTCTCTATTTATGGAATAAGTATGCAATGTGGTAATTATGTTTGTGATGTTACTCTGAGTGTATATCCACACCGGGCGAGCTTGAAAATATGCCTGGCCACGGTACAGAGTAACATCACAAACACCACGGTACAGAGTAACTATTCACCTGAGTACATAATACCAACACAGAAAACATTCAATGTGGTAATTCTCGAAACAAAATGCTGAACGGTTTTTAAAGCTGGAAATGGACCTTTCCTCTTATAACTAAAATTTCGATCTAGACAAAAATTTCATCACAGCTTGAAAGAGCATCACAAAATTAGTAATATTCCAAAGTTTTGTTGCGAAATCTTGTAAAATGCGGATAATGTAGCCTTGCGAAGTTTGCCGTTTTTCAGTCATTTTGTATTACAAACGGGAAATTGACATACGATTCGGGTGTTGGGATTGCAATTTCCCGTTTGTAATGCAAAATGACTGAAAATTGCAAACTTCGCAAGGCTCTATTTTCCTCATTTTACAACATTTCGCAACGAAACTTTGGAATATTACTAATTTTGTGATGCTCTTTCAAGCTGTGATGAAATATTTGTCTAGACTTGCCTAGATCAAAATTTTGGTTATAAGGGGAAAGGTCTATTCCTAGCGAAAATTATGTTCAAATATATAATTGGCTCTCTGGTAGGAATCGAACTCCTGCGCGATTCTGGTGCAGCGTAACGTAATATGATAAGGAGAAAATGTTCTCGAGTGTCAACTCGGCCCACTGACCAACTCGGCCCATACCATCTCGCTGATCTCGGCCCAATAGTTAACTACTGTTTGACATGTTAGGGAAGCTTATTAATATTTTACAAAAGGCAGTACCAAAGCGATACAGCCATTTGCAGTTGCATTGGGTGTACAGATGAGTAAAGTTTGATTGCAATTGGCTCTGAGCAATTTCTAAATCAAAATCGCATGAGAACATCCAGTTTGACTTAATTTAAAGAATCTATCAATGTTTCAAATTCTCGATCTGTCCGTTTTGACTCCTAGCTTGTTTAATGGTTAGATTAGTCAGTTTTGATTTAAAATTCCATAATTCGAAATTGCTGCAGTGCACCGTAGCGGCATGTACTAAAAGGCGACACCAC